AGAAGGCCTTCCCACACTCACTGCACTCGTAGGGCTTCTCCCCTGTGTGGCTCTGCTGGTGCCACATGAGGTAGGACCTGTGTTTGAAGACCTTGCCACATTCGAAGCACTCATACGGATTCTCACCACTGTGGATGATGTGATGTCGAAGGAATCCTGGCCTATGTCGGAAGACCTGCCCGCACTCTTTGCACACAAAGGATTTTTCCCCTGTGTGTCTTCTCTTATGTAAGACAAAGTTAGAGCGGTGGGTGAAGGCCTTTCCACACTCGCCGCACTTGTAAGGCTTCTCCCCACTGTGGATCCGCTGGTGCTGGGTGAGGTATGACTTGCGGTTGAAGGCCTTCCCGCACTCTGTGCACTCGTAGGGCCTCTCCCCTGTGTGGATCATGTGGTGCTGGAGGAGGTGTGTGCTCTTGATGAATGTTTTCCCACACTCTGTGCACTCATAGGGCTTCACCCCAGAGTGAATCTTTTCATGTCCAGCAAGAAGGTGTTTCTTGTTAAAAATTTTCCCGCATTCATTGCATTTAAAGATATTTTCCTCTTCCTGAACGATGAGATCTCTACCTGATCCACACGCGCCATGGGCAGGGACAGCACCTGCCGGGGGGACTGGCTCCTCCACAGTCCCTGGACACACGCCATCGGCTGTCCCAAAGCTGCCGTGCTCGGGGCTCATGCTCTGCAGCTCTCTCCCTGGCCCAAGGGGCCCCACAGGCCCATCCTGACCCTTGGTTTGGCCCAACGTGGAGTCCCCTGGGGCTCCATGAGTTAGCTCCTGGAACGAGGCTCCCTCAAACGGGGCTGGCTTACAGGTGGTAGGTTCTGCGGTCTTGGGTTTTCCACCATCACCTGAAAGAAATCCAGTAAACAAGGCCCATCAGTAACACCGACACAAGAGAAACAAAAAAATCAGGGACAAAATAGAGATGAGCCACTTTCTCTCTCTTGGACTGGCTGGCTCCCAACTCTTGGGAGTGTACTGTGTTTCACTACTGGTTTTTACTTCGCTAACAAAAATCTTGTTTATATCACGCAAAAAAAAAAGAGAGAGATGAAAATAGTGCCTGTGTCTGTTATGTTTCGCTACCTCTGAATCTCAGGATTGTAATTTCTTTCCTTCTTGGTCATTGGACTGTTGCCACCTTCAAGGCGAGACCCTGTAGGAGAGTCTAGGTGAGGAGACAGAGGGTCTGGGTGGAGACACCACCACGATCTCACACTGGACATGGCTGGACAGAGCAATAATGCCTCTGTGCGCTGTTAGCTGCCTTTAAGTGAGGACGCCCCGTGTTGCTGTAAGAACACTAGTAAAGGGCATCTGATGCAGCCCTGACTGAAGACAGAAGTGCACGAAGCAAAGTGAACTGTCTCCAAAGAGAAGTATGGCCTTTGTCCCAGTTCCAAGGAAGTGACCTGTAAATCTCCAAAGTGACAGGTATGTCTTTGTTGTTTGTGGTGAGCCCCTAGGAACATACACAATACTTTATGCCAACAGATACCTCATTATGGGCCCCCAGATAGTTTATGCTAAAGAGATGACTTCAGGTCAGGGTAAGCTCTGGCCACACAGAAAGATCAACCATGTAATTAGAGAGCTGAAGTGGGGAGAGTATAGCTCAGTGGTAGAGCGTGTGCTTAGCATGCATGAGGTCCTGGGTTCAATCCCCAGTACCTCCAGTAAAAGTAAGTAAATAAATCTACACCCCAAAACAAAAACAAAATAAACAGTTAAAACATTTTAAAAAAAAAAAAAAGGAAGTTGAGGCTTTGAATGACGAGTTTTTGGCTGGACCTCTGGAACGGGGAGGAGGACTAGAGGCAGAGTCCGTGTATAATGACCCAACCACTCATGCTTCCTTAATGAAGGCATAATAAAAATCTGGATACCGAAGCTCTGGTGAGTTTCCTGGGGTGGCAACACTCCGGGCACATACTGCCACACATCGACTCCTGGAGGTAACAAGTTGCTGAAGACACGGAACCTTCGTGTTTGGAACATCTCCGGCCCCTCTTCTAATTTGTATCCTTTGTCTGTAACAAACATGATTTGTGAGTAACAGGTTTTAGGGAGTTTTTGAGTTTTCCTAGCAAATCATCAAACCTGAGGGTAGACTGGGAAGCCCCATGACTTGTAGCTGCGGCAGAGGCCCTGGGCAGATGTGGTGATCTTGGAGTCCTGTGTGCTTCACCCTGAGTTTGGCTAACTATGTGCAGTAGGAGGCTGGGGAGTCCTCCTGGCACCAGAGGAGCTGCCACAGAGAGAAAACGGGGAGCACACTATGGCTTTAGGAGGCAGAACGTACAGGGGCACAGCAGACCACAAGGATGGCGGTGATGAGAGCCAGGGGCAGGTGGAAGGGAAGGGAAGCTGAATCCCATGGTCTTGACGCGGGTCACCGTGAGGACTCACAGGACGGGGCTCATGGGGCAGCAGTGAGCAGGACTGGACAGCTATTTTGGGTCTGGTATGCCTGAACATACTGGCAAAACACACATGACCTAGATGGAGAAAGATAATACTTTCCTTGCGGCATTAAAGAGGAGCTGTATCAGTGAAGAATTTAACGTGGGGAGAAGTGAAATCAGAGAAAGGTAGTCAAGTCGTGGAAACGTTCAGTTTCAACCTGAGGGAGCACTGCAGGTGACTGGAGCTACCACCGCTAAGCACCGTGGGGAGCATGAGCCTAAGACCCCCAGCACAAGGAAACAACTTCCCCTTCTGTCTCTCCTCCCTCATGTTGTGCTGTATCTGCATGGGAGACGGACGGTAGCTGAACCCGCAATGGGATCACTTCAGTACGTGTGAGTCAAACCACCATGCTGCGGGGAGGGATAAATTAGGAGTTTGGGATTAACATATACAAACTAGATAACCAACAAGGGCCTGCTGCAGAGCACAGGGAGCTACAGTCAGCATCTGGTAATAACCTGTAATGGAAAAGAATCTGAAAAAGATTTGTATGTATAACTGAATCACGTGGCTGTACCCAACATTCTAAGTCAACCACACCTCTATGAAAAACACACACAGAACATCATGCTGTATGCCTTACTTACGCAGTGGTATGTATCAATTGTTTCTCAATATAACACGGGAAAACGGAATTTAATAATATAAAATCGACAATTCTACCCAAACAAATGTATAAATTCAATACAACTCAGGGAAAAGCTGTGTTAAGCAGTTTTATGCTTTAACATATTGTGTGGTGACACCTCCAAGAGCCAGCGGCAGAGAAACCATTACTAGCGTTTCACGGAGCCAACCGAGGTCAGACTACACTCCCCCGCCACCCCCGTGGCTCTCCTTGGACCCACGGCTCAGCCGCAGCCCCGCACACACAGTGTGGCCAAGTGTCCGCCTCCTGCCAGTGGAGCAGGAGGGGAGCTCGTGTTGGTGGGAATCGATGTGACAGCCTCCCTTCCTCTCTCCGTCCTCCTCTGCCAGCAGAGGGACAGCGGGACAGGTCTGGCCCTGATCCTGGTGTGAGTCGGGAAGCCAGCTGCCATACACCAGGCACAGAGATGCTAGAGCCCGTCTGACACGGCCGCCCGCTTCACCTTGACCAAACTCACAAAGACATGAGCCTGTTATCTACCCCAGGGCCACAGGGCTGGTGACTGGTACCCAGGCTTGAAGCCCAAGTAGCTGGAGCTCAAGACACATCTCAGCTCACACACCTCTCTCCTCCAAGAGGACAGGGACCTAGAGGCAAAGGGCTCCACGGCTTCCACACCACGCAGGGGCCACAACAAGACGCTCCCCCAGGGCACCTGGGCCAGCGGCCTCCCCTGGGGCTCCCGCTGGCCCGCACCCAGCTCCTACCTGGACAGGGGCTCTGGGAGCAGTCCTTCCTCCCCATCCACAGCTCCTGCCCATGCTCCAGCTGGCAGATCAACTCAGGCCTGGGAACGGGACACCCTGTAAGTGGAGAAAGGAAGAAGACACTAGGATTGTGTGGAAAGAGGGAAGAACAACTGAGTCTAGTCTGGGACTTCAGGATGTGGACAAGACCTCAGGATGGAGCTGCTCCCACGCACAGAAATCCTGGCTTGCGACCTGGAAGCCGAGAGCAAAAACACCACTGTTGGGACCCAAAGACTTCAGACGGCAGTGCTGGCTGTACAGACAGCGCCTGTTCCCTTGGCCTCCATCACACAAAATTCCAACTCTTCAGTGGTAGCCATGAGACCCAGAGGGTCTGACCCCCTCCTTCTGGAAGGTGTTTCCTAGTTAACCCAAGCAAGTCTTAACGACCTGTGCGTTGAAATCTCCTGGGATGTCTGGTTCATGTTCAAGGGAAACCAAACCTCTGCAGGTGAGGCCTGGATAGCAATACATTTAAAAAACGCCCCAGAGGATTCTGGCATCAAGGGAGGACTGGAAACCCTGGTCTCCAGTAACCTGCAGGGGACCACACCAGCCCTCCGGAAGAGAAAGCTCTACTCCAGGCCGGCTGAATGAGGGCAT